GTACACTGCGAGAATCACGCGTTATGCGTGAAATCGAACGTAAAAACAGGACAAACAAAGGTCATAGCGTCGTAGTGGCGTCAAACATCGCGTGGGATTCGACAAACGCGAAAGTATTTCGGGGACATTTCCATGCTTAATAATGTGCTGTCCACATTTGATGATAGGCAATTTCGATTAAGTGAGGGTATTCGGAAGCAATATTCCTCTGTCGAAGATCAATGTAAGCTGCGAAATAAAGAAATTCTAGTTCAAAATCAAATTGTTCGATTTTTGCGGCTGACGTTCGACGCGCGTCTTTCATGCATCTCGCGAGATCTCGCAATTGTTCGGAAAATCACCTATTCACATTACCTGGGTTTCTTTTTGATGATCTCTCCAGTACTTTTATGAAGTAAACTGACGAGTTTTTTGACAGTAGCCGGCTCACTCAAAGTCTGATAGTGAAACACAACCTGCAATAGAGGGATTGGTAAATTTCATGTAATGAAGCAATACTTGTATTAGATTGTAACGTTCGATTTTATGCACATTAAACACAGAGAATGGGTAAGGACATAATAATGAACAAATAGTAGTTATTATAAATTATGTTGGTAAATAGCAGTGAGTCAGTGAAAGAATTGATAGTAATGAGTCAGTGAAAGAATTGATAGTAATGAGTCAGTGAAAGAATTGATAGTAATGAGTCAGTGAAAGAATTGATAGTAATGAGTCAGTGAAAGAATTGATAGTAATGAGTCAGTGAAAAAATTGATAGTAATGAGTCAGTGAAAGAATTGATTGTAATGAGTCAGTGAATAAATTGATAGTAATGAGTTAGTGAAAGAGTAAATAGCAGTGAGTCAGTGAAAGAGTTGATGGTAGCGAGTTAGTGAAAGAGTTGATAGTAGCGAGTCAGTGAGAGTCAATAGTAGCGAGTCAGTGAAAGAGTCAATAGTAGCGAGTCAGTGAAAGAGGCAATAGTAGCGAGTCAGTGAAAGGGTTGATGGTAGCGAGTCAGTGAAAGGGTTGATGGTAGCGAGTCAGTGAAAGAGGCAATAGTAGCGAGTCAGTGAAAGAGGCAATAGTAGCGAGTCAGTGAAAGGGTTGATGGTAGCGAGTCAGTGAAAGGGTTGATGGTAGCAAGTCAGTGAAAGGGTTGATGGTAGCGAGTCAGTGAAAGGGTTGATAGTAGCGAGTCAGTGAAAAGGTCATTAGTAGCGAGTCAGTGAAAGAGGCAATAGTAGCGAGTCAGTGAAAGTCAATAGTAGTGAATCAGTGAAAAGGTTGAAGGTAGCGAGTCAGTGAAAGAGTCAATAGTAGTGAATCAGTGAAAAGGTTGATGGTAGCGAGTCAGTGAAAGAGTCAATAGTAGTGAATCAGTGAAAAGGTAATGGTAGCAAGTCAGTGAAAGAGTCAATAGTAGTGAATCAGTGAAAAGGTAATGGTAGCAAGTCAGTGAAAGAGTCAATAGTAGCGAGTCAGTGAAAAGGTTGATGGCAGTGAGTCAGTGAAAAGGTTGATGGCAGCGAGTCAGTGAAAAGGTTGATGGCAGCGCGTCAGTGAAAAGGTTGATAATAGACAATGTAGATGGTTGTGATGGGAATTATGAAATAATGGATGGTAATGTCAAGACTTTGGCAGTGAGAGGATCCACTGAACATGAAGTTCAAAGTATCCTCTCACAAAGTGGAAGTGTGTATAAGATGTACCAGTATATAAATCCATAGACTTGGCCAAAAATTGTCGATGTCAACAACACTGGGATAGTGGCTCACGGCACTGTCATGTCATGCATGAATTGTGGAATACATAAGAATGACCTGTATCATACGCACTGCATGCACAATATGCAATAACTTAAATAAGCTTATGATGTAGACATATCTCATGAATATTATTATAAGGTGCAAATATTAATAGAAAGTATTTATTATGAAACACCGCGAGCATATATTTTTTGCCTTGACCTCCTTGACCTTTCTCAACTATGTGTTAAGCCCAAACAATAATGGTGAATATCAAAGGAAGAAAATAGTCAGATGCAATGCGAGTTAAAAGATTAACTTACAGGATATCCCCTAGTAATTGGCACTTCAATGTTGAAGATAATAACTCTAGCCTGCACTCTATTGGTTGACCTGATGTGCTCAACAGGTGAACACAGTACACTACCAACACTGTAAATAAACATTTAAAATCAAATACTGTGGAATACTTTATTTTCGCTGAAATTAATTTTTGCTGAAAAGGCTTTTTGGGCAATTTGCTGGATTTTATTTTCACGGAATCATCCCTTCAGCGAAAATAAATTCCAAGCGAAAATAAAGTATTCTACAGTATTACTAAATTTAAAAAAAATACAAGCTTGTTACACACGCTTAGATGAGTGTTCAACAATTTTGCGGAATTTGTATTCTACTTTATTCGGGAATGTGAATACCAAATATGGAAATATAACATGATATATTTAAGGCATATTGAATTGAAGATGTCGTCACAAAATCAACAAATTTGACAGAGGTCCACCTGATGTACCTACATATACAATATCAAAGCAATCAGACTAGCAGTTTTCAAAGAGAAGTCGAAAATATAATTTTTTACCAAAAATGACAAAAATACTCATCAAAATTAGAGAAATAAAGATATCATCACGAAATGGACAAATCTGAGAGAGGTCCACCCAAGATACCTACATACCAAGTATCAAAGCATTTGGGCTAGCAGTTTTCAAGAAGAAATTGAAAATATCTTTTTGACCAAAAATGACAAAAATATTCGCTATAAATAAGACAATTGAACATATTCACCCACAAAATGAACAAATCTGAGAAAGAACCACCCAAGGTACTTTCCTAGAAAGTTTCACAGCTATACAGTTTGTGGTTTTTAAGAAGAAGTCGAAAATGTTGACAACGGCGACGGACAATCAGTTAATTATATTATAATACTATAAGCTCCGCTCAACTTCAACGACAGCAGAGCTAAGAAAGTAGTTTAGAATCTTGCGCAGTTCTGGGCACATAATATTAAAATCTTGCAAAATAAGCAGATTCAGCCTTGTGGCCTTGACTTCTGCTACACTTTAGTTATCATTGGTTAATGAAAAAACTTGATAGAAGATTGTGTTTAAACTTACTTGACTTTCATCTGATCAATACCAGTGACAGTCAAAACGGCCTGATCACCTGCACACGCCCATTTTGTGTCTTCATCATGAATAAATACAGCTAGAAGGAAATGCATGATTGTAATTCTGATTATAACTTGAATACGAAGTGTATGTTTGATTTGGCAGTGATCATGTAATATACTGGTAAAACTTGCACTGTTAAGCATAAATACAAGGCAGAATTCAATATGTTTAAAAAAAAAGAACTAACAAGCTGCTCTCTGATTGGTCTGATTGTTTGGTGTTAAGGTCGGGTAGCCAATCATGTACAGTCTTGTAAGTAGCTTCGTATTGATTCAACTTTGAATAATCTTAAATTTTCATTTTTTTGATTGGGTCACTGGGTGTGTGGCTTTTGTGTAGAGACAGGAGAGAAAATGCAAGAAAATAGTAATCAACTATAAATTTTTTTTTTGTCAACTGAAATACAATTATTCTCAAAAATAAAATATTTTTATTACGATGTAAAACCCGTGTTAATTGTATGAGGCAAAAGTCATCTGTTTTTTCAATGATGCAATGTGTAAAATAGTAAAAATATTTCTTTTAAAGTTTTTTGTATCTGAGGCACCATTTACCATGCATTGTGAGATCTTGTGTTATGCATGAAATTGAACTTGAAAAACACAAGTCATGGCTTTGTAGTACTGGTAGCATCAAAGCATCAAGGAAGATTTGACAAACGTGATACTATTTTTTTGGTATTTCCACACTTAATATTATGGTCTATTATGATGAAGTACTGTGAAATACTTTATTTCAGCTGAAATTAATTTTCACGGAAAAGAGTTTTTGGGTGTTTTGTATGGAATTTATTTTCATTGATTTTTGACTAGTTGAATGTAAAATATAGGGTTAAAGGTATATTCGCTGGATTTTATTTTCACTGAATCATTCCTTCAGCGAAAAACGTGAAAATCAATTCCAGGCAAAAATAAAGTATTTTACAGTAAGCATATCTCAATGTCGAATACTTCTTTGAAAGATCAGCATTTTGACTTTGAAAAAAGAAGGAATTCTAATTCAAAATCAAATTAATTGTAGTAGACATTTGATTCTTTCTTTCACACATTACACAAGATATCACAGTGAACAGAAAATCACCTACTGAAGAATAAACAACTTTCCCGGAAGTCAAAGTTTCCACGCTTCACATGCGCCAGCATACCTTACTTGCACGCGTGATATTGTACCTCTGGGTGTACCAATCAACATCACAAAAATAAAATTCCCTTCTATAGACTATCAGCAAACTTGCATGTTTATATTTTCCGCCGTGACAAAGCAGGTGTATTTCTGCACTTTCTATGGTTATACTATGTCTGTGTAAAACCTATTATTACAATGACTTACTTTTAACGTAACCTTGCTCAGCAGCTGGCATAACCAGTATTTTATCACCACTTTGGACATTACCAGAAACTATTTTACCAGTTACACTGAAACCAGAACCCATTCCTGTGAAGAAAAATTAAGATGTAAATATTATATAAATCCCCGATCTTGGGTATCACATTACGTTCAGATCTTCCATGGTGCAGTATAACATTAGTACATCTTGTCGTAAGCCATGGTGTCTTTACATCACATGGTGGGGGCCGTAAGTACTGAGTTAACCCTTATCTGGTCAAGTCAAACCCAAGTTCTACTTCCCATACACCCAATATTAGACAAGGATCCCTACTTAAGTAAAACAAGCAGCCTATATGCTGAGATAGCTCCGCTGTTAGCAATGCACATTTCAAATAAAGAACAGAAGATATCATTAGAAAAGGAACAATATGTATAGTATCAAAGCAATCAGACTTCCTGTTTTCAACAAGGATTCTAAAATATCACTTTTTACCAAAAATGACGGAAACATTCATTAAAATTAGATAATTGAAGATATCATCATGAAATGAACAAATCTGAGAGAGGTCTACCTGAGGTACCTATATGTACAGTATCAAAGCAATCAGACTTACAGTTTTTGACAAGAAGTCGAAAATATCACTTTTTACCAAAAATGACAAAAAAATTCACCAAAATTAGAGAATTAAAGATATCATCACAAAATGAACAAATCTGAGAAGGGTCCACATGTAGTACCTATATATGCAATATCAAAGCAATTGGACTTTCGGTTTTTAACAAGAAGTCGAAAATATCACTTTTTACCAGAAATTACAAAAATATTCAACAAAATTAGAGAATTGAAGATATCATCACGAAATGAACAAATCCGAGCGGGGTCTACCTGTAGTACCTATAGATATAATATCAAAGCGATCATTCAATGTCCGGAACTGTCGCCTGGCACAAAAAACTATTAAAAAAGAAAGGATGTTTGCTAATGAATCTAATGAATATTAAAATAATAACTACCTAGAGTACTGTGAATGTATTAATTATTCAGTGTGTTTTAAATTTCACTATTCTGACAGATAAGCGGAATCCTGCTAAATTCACTGCACTAGAGTGTGGACATACTGACTTTGCCTCTGTGGCCGGTGAGTGACATTGATTGGCCGATAAATATCAACTGATAACTGAAATGGAGATGACTGAGTGTGACCATCCATGATGTTGCAGTAAACAGTTCATGAGTAAAATTAGCAGGCACTCCTGGAGAATGGGTAATCAGTAAAACGATAGTTGGGTACCAGTGTGCACTTAAAGGCGATATGACATGCCACT